ATTTTACTGAAGTTTTTTTATTTTATAGCTTTCATAAAACTTGTATCATCTTCAGAATAGTATCGGAAAGAATGCATTTGAAAGGTCCTTAAAGCCTTTTAGTCTAATTAAAAATATTAGATCACAGTCACTAAATGGAGATTTCAAAACACATGCTGACCAGAGATGGTATAATCTGTTTTTTATCTCCAAAGCCTGTGGGCGTCAGTTTAATGCATCTTCACTGACATCATGTACTATACAGTACAAAAGCCACCGTGCCTTGATCCCACAGTACCTGAGTGACCTATTACACACTCTGACTATGAACCTCCCATTTTGTTCACCATCCCCCACAGCAGCCTGCAACCCCACAGGGACAGTACACACAGAGTGTGTGACCTCTGTCTGCCATTTGTCAGGGGCAGTCAAGGGCCATAAATAAGAGTCCAGCTTGTTGGTGAGATGAGACAGTGTTTAGAAATGGACAGTATCCATAATAAAACACTGTCCCTAGACCCTGTACACAGCATGGTACCATATTAGATAAGGTTTGAAAGTGATGTAGAAGTCACTTCCATCTGGACCAGGTCACATCATTTACTGCCCTGTAAATGGTTCTTTGAATTATTATTATCATCATCATCATCATCATCATCATCACCATTATTATTATTATTATTATTATTATTATTATTATTATTATTATTATTATTAAGTTGTATCTTCCATAGTACATTAATCACGTGATGATTCATTGACAAGTATAATTATTAAAGAAGCAGAGAAACAATAATTGCTTCCTGGGGTTTAACTGACAACCTGGACACTATTTTTAGATGAAAACTAAAAAAATATATATATATATATAAAGCAAAAAAGACATTTGCATTTTGGTGAGTAGCTGATGGACAACTGATTGAATTGATTCAGGCTACTTCAATGACCCTGAAAAATGGGTGGGTGAATGGATGGATGGATGGATGAGCGGATGGACGAAATAGAGCATTGATGTCAGCAGGACAATCTAAAGAGGTTGAGACTGTAACAAAGTAAGACTGAAGGTTCATTTAAGGTCAGCTGCTGGGGTATCAAAGGAGCATCCACCAAAGACTCCATCTTTACTGAACTGGTTTTGGTCTAATCTCTGCTGCAGCGGGACTCCTTTGTCATGAGAATGACTATGTCAGCACTTTTGGCGTCTTGATTAAAAACATCAGTGAAATGACTGATCACTGGAGAAGAAGCAGAGGAATGACCTCTTCTTAAAGCCTCTTCAGTGACCCTCTGAGGGCAACAGAAGTATTATCAGCTGATACACCAGCGTGATCTCAACATCAATAGACATTACACATGCATTTCAGCTTTGTGGCTGCACTTGGCAAATCCAGACAGAGAAGAAAAGGGAGGCAGAGTCTGTAGATATGATGTGAAACTAAGTGAAACATTGACAAGATATTTGTCTTTATCCATGATGTGCTGAAGCGGAGGCTAGGAAACCACCAAAAACAATTGCTCTCAGTCAAGACAGACAGGGAAAAGAAAATGAGTTGTGCCTGTTAGAGATCATCCGTTCAAACAAAAAAGAAAGAACTGTCAACTTTTATCATAAGACTGTCAGATGGTCCAACAGGGTGTTGGATTTTTTGCGATGTTTTTCCTGCTTCTGTTTCAAAAGTGAGTCATTGTTTTTGAAAGATTGCTGCAATATTTTGGCTGATAGATCGAAGATAGTTGCCTGAGGGGAGACGTTTAGCTGTTGATTCACAGAGGGAGGATCCTCCCTCTCAAGTCACAAGAACTAATTACTCAGCTATGAGTAGCTTTTCCCAGAAGACACACGCCCGCGGATTTAGGTAAAAACAAATTTAGTTAATGTGTTCGGCCAAACAAAGTGCTATAATATACCGTTATCACATTTTCAGACGCATCATAGGCGTAAACAACGATTTGGATCAAATCAATCTAATCGTGATCTATTTCTTGGCCGAATTTTAACATTTAATAATTATTTCTCTATTTATGATGAATGTAATTGCACACACACAAAAAAACATTGACAAGTGTCAGATGCAAAGATATAAAATTAATTGCATTTCGAGAGACAGCCAGGCTTCGCCCTCCTACTGTTGTGGGTCAGCTTTGTCCTCTAGTGGAGAATAACTGCTATCACACACAAGCTACTCCAAGATAAAAAAAAAAAAAAAAAAAAAACCCGATTGGTTGAAATCGGTTAAATAATAATAATAATAATAATAATATGTATTTAGGTTACCTTAAACTCCAAAGAAATGATTAGTTAAACATGTGACAGACAACCAGTTATTATCTACATGTGTTTGTAGGATATATATATATATATATATATATATATAAATTAAAAAACACTAATATAAAATCTATGCCATATAAATTGAAGTGATATAGGAAAAGAGATTCCAATTATGGTTCCACAAGGTTCCGACTTGCTTGTTGCAACGGGGTCTATATTTTGCGACGCACGTTCAGCATTCAAAGCAGTGCCGAGCAGTAAGGAAGTTCTGCACAAGCCACTTGTTAAATAATTGTGGGGTTTTGCTACAATATTAGGATTACTTTTGTCAACACTATGTAAACCTAAATACATTTTGTAAGAATTTTCTCCTCAAGTTTCGTGTCCTCATGAGGCGACTGGGGGCTTTAATCAGCGACGCACACAGCACAACGACTTGCAGTGTCGTTGTGAAACTTAACAGACACTTCTAAAACAACAAATTGATTGTTGTGTTTGCAGCAATAGCTTCACTATAATGCTTCAAAAGAAATTATTATGTCACCCCATTTTCTGAGTAACGAGAGCGCTTTTTAATCTACAACCGCCTGTGCTCTAACGTCTGTGGTTCTTCCCTCCTGTTGCTACTGCGCTACAAAAGCGCATTTTTGTAACATGGCTGGGAAAAAGCTAATGTACTAGTTCTATAAACAATGTAGCATTTTGTTATTAAACCAATCTCAGGGAGTATTCTTTTAACAATATCGGAACAATTGTGAATTTACATGGAAATAAAAGTTAATATATGCTTTATGCGGAAAATGCGGACGCATGCGCGGTGGGTTGTAAGCGTCATTCTTGTATTATCAGGGAAGCTGTTCATACACAGGACTGCACATCCTTTCTCTCAACAGTAGCACTTAATAGAGCTGTCTCTTATCAGCAGCAGCAGACATGAGTTTCTTTGGTTTCGGTCAGAGTGCGGACATCGACATAGTCCTAAATGACGCAGAGACGAGAAAGAAAGCTGAGCATAAAAGCGAAGATGGAAGGAAGGACAAATATTTCCTCTTCTACGACGGAGAAACAGTGTCTGGCAAAGTAAACGTTACTCTCAAGTACCCGGGAAAAAGACTGGAGCACAATGGCATCAAGATCGAATTTGTGGGCCAGATAGGTAAGAGGCCTGCGCTGCACACTTAAGAAGCCAGCTACAGGCTACATTCACATGCAGCACTTCATTACACTAGCCTTAATGGAGAAACTCTCAAAACAACACTGTACTGCTCTGTTACTCCACTGTCACAACAAGTGTCAGTTTGAACAGCAGGTCTCGTGACAGAGGCAGACGTTTGCTGACGTCAGCTGACTCATCGGCTATTTGCCAGCTGATCTCATCGACCTTTGACCTCCCGCTTTAAGAAACTCTTCATCTACTGTCACGTTAATGCTAACTATAAATGGGCCTCTGGGATAATGATGCTCAGCACAGAGTTCAAGTGTCAACCACTTATTATTGAAGTGTTATTATGCTATTAAGGATCTTTCAACATATCTACATTATTGCACAACACAACTCAAACATTTGGTGCACCTTTGACAGAACAATGTCAAAACTTATCCATCAGGTTGTCGACTATTACTCCATAGCCCTAATCTGTGGGTAAGGTGCAGTGAAGAAATGGATCTGAAAAGTCTTCACATCAAGCTCAGTCCATCTCCATTGCAAAGAATGTTCTGTTAGAGCCTTTCACCACATGGACATAGTGTGATTAATCACATTAAGAAAACAGGAAGAAGGCAGGGATAGTGCAGCCATAGCTACAATATTTAACACTTTAGTTAAGGCAGGTTGTGTAATATTTGCAGTCTTGTCCACTGTTTTTTTTATTTTGGTTTATTGAATTGTGATAAACTGGAACCCATTTTGCCAGTGCATGACACAGATTTAACAAGATACTGGAAACATACCTAAGACATCTAGACCTATATTGCGACCTTAGCTTCATGCAGTTGCTGCAGATATGTCACGAAGACATACTGTACAGAAATTCCTGTTCTGCCACATCACAAAGGTCATTTTAGTCCAGGGAGCTCATTGTCATGTTTGGCTTTTGGGTCTCACATTGAACTTTGTTCTTCAGCATCAGATGATGAATCCACTGTGGTCATAAAGGAAAGGCCCTTGTTATTTACAGCACTCTAGACGAGTGTTGTATTTAAGCTCTGGTTAATAGGGCCTGAAAATATGCAAATAAAATAAAACAATATATGCATTAACAAACAGATGTACAGTTTATATAAATGACGTGTCTTTGTTATTAAACTAAATTACATCTTGGCCTTACACAAGTGATACTATTGAACTTAAAATGTTAGACAAATGTTTTGATGACCATTTTTCATTCATCTTATTGACGTTCCCCTAAATTGATGTAGATTATTTTTCATATTTTAGGCAGCTCTACATCTAGCTGTAAGTGCGCTGTGTTTGATCTCACAGAAGCCACTGAACCTTTGATCCCTGACACTTCTTCACATGACCCACAGCTGAATAAAACCTGAAGCTGACTCACCTTGTTGGCTCTGTCACACATTACCAAAGTGTTCAGAAGCAGGTGGATAACGAGAAGAACTATTTTAAAGGCGATGAGTTTATTTTTAAATGTGGTCAATGACACAGATTACCGATTTAAATACTTCTTAGTATCCAGGGTACAGAGTGCAAAATGACACAAGGTAAACATCATTTGGATACAGTGTCAGGATGCAGGATCAAAACGTTTCAATGCATTATGGCCATGTGATCAACTTTCTGTTTTGCTGGAGCTTTGTAGAATTACACATAAAGTTAAAAAAAGATTGTAACTAATTGCACAGAGGTTTTACTGTATTGACCAAGTCACAGGGTCTCCAAGGCTAAAGAAGGAGTCAGTGTTTCTACTGTCATTTCTACTGTTTTCACATCATTCCAGTGATTGTCCAAAATCTGCCATGATGCCATAACTGAAAAATATTTTTTAATGTTATTTTTATGTTCCTCTTGATAATTTTACCATGAATGTATTTTAAACATTGCAGCTGCTTCTGTTCCCCTTTTTTTCCTCCTCAGCAGCATCTGTCTCTTATGGACAACCGTTCTGGTTTTCTGACACTGTTGTCTTGTCTCTTTCAGAGCTGTACTACGACAGAGGAAACCACCATGAGTTTGTGTCTCTGGTCAAAGACCTGGCTCGGCCGGGGGAAATCACACAGTCCCAGACGTTTGACTTTGAATTCACACATGTGGAGAAACCATATGAGTCCTACACTGGACAAAATGTCAAATTACGGTGAGCTTGGCTGTGTGTGTGTGTGTGTGTGTGTGTGTATAAGGTCCTACATTTTAATTTATCACATTTTGTATTCTATGATTACTACCTTTAATTCATGACAGACCTTCTTAGCCAGACACATTCAGACAGCCAGTATTAATAAGGACTATTTGCTAAATATTAAAGACACCTATGTTGTCTTTAATATTTTGTCATGGTTGTGTTTAATAGTTAATAAGGGGCAATGAATTGCATGTATCTCTGAAGATGGTAAAACCCTGATTGTGTTTTTTATCTCATCATTCATATTTGCATTTGTTTTGTTCTGGGTGTTGTGGATATTTATCAAAAAAAGGTTTAACAGTTAAAATACACAATACACCCACCAGGTGGCAGTAAAACAACTCCAGATGCAAAGCTGCGGTTAAACCAAAGGCCAACCCCAAGCCAATGTTTTTTTCAGGTTTTTGTGTGTCGTCTACTGTAGATGTCAACTAAAATGCTGGGATCACTTTGGCTGATCTGGGGTCAGCTTCCCTGCTGCTCTCCTGTTTATTGACACAGTCAAACACGTCATGAGATACTGTTTGTGTACGTGTTCTTTCAGCTACTTTCTGAGAGCAACAGTGAGCCGGAGACTGAATGACATCAGCAAGGAGCTGGACATTGTTGTTCACACACTCAGCACCTACCCTGAGCTCAACTCCTCCATCAAGATGGAAGTGGGAATCGAGGACTGTCTACACATAGAGTTTGAGTACAACAAATCAAAGTAAGACTGTCTCATGGTACAGACAGTTGACACAGCTTTAGATTTGACCTAATCCTCTTCTAAACTCCATGAACATTTCTGACTGATGGTGTTTTTCCCTCACAGGTATCATCTCAAAGATGTGATTGTGGGAAAGATTTACTTTTTGCTGGTGAGGATTAAAATCAGACACATGGAAATCGATATCATCAAGAGGGAAACAACAGGCACAGGGCCAAACGTCTACCACGAGAACGACACCATAGCCAAGTATGAGATCATGGATGGCGCCCCAGTCCGAGGTAACTAAAAAGATTGTTGAATTCTGTCACGCCCATTGATTGGTTCTGCACTCACTCTGACACACTGCTGTGCTGCAGGAGAGTCCATACCCATCAGACTGTTTCTGGCCGGCTATGAGATGACACCGACTATGAGAGACATCAACAAGAAGTTCTCTGTGAGATACTACCTCAATCTGGTACTCATCGATGAGGAGGAAAGGCGCTATTTCAAACAGCAGGTACAAGCACACTTGGAGCTACAGTGTAGCAGTGTAACAGTGAAGTTACAGGAGGCCGGGTCACGAGCAGATAGATGGAGCGTTTGTATGAAATACGGCAAATGACAAAGTCATGCATAAAGGATAAAATGCGAAAATAATTTTAGCCTTCTCTACGCCAATTTTTTTAAACTCATAAAGCGTAATGTCAAATGCTGGCTAGCTTAGCCTGGTTTGTTTTGATTTTTGCACTCATTCACTCTCTTGCCAATGCTCTCTTCTGGAGCCTTGAAAAATTGCAGCAGGTTTTTGTGAGAGAATCAGTTTAGAACGAGTGTATGTGGATGGTGCTGAAGCCATTATTAGCCAAGTGTACAAGTAATTACTTTGGAAGGTTTTTGATCTGTTGCTGCATGTTTGTGTTGTAGGAGATCACTCTCTGGAGAAAAGGCGACATTGTGAGGAAGAGTATGTCTCACCAAGCAGCCATCTCCTCCCAGCGCTTCGAAGGCTCCTCCCATCCAGAGAAGCCGCTGCCCCAGGATAGCAGGGAGGACGACAGCTAGAGGGCAGCAGCCACTTCGCCCTCTGTGTCAGTGAGTGTCCAGTGTAGGAGCCTTCAGGGTCAGAACTTGGAGATCATACGTGTGTTTGCAGTGCCATGAAACACTGCAGTGTTTTTCACACCGTGTGTTTGTGTGAGTGAATGAACAAGTGTGAGGCTTCAGACGAACACAACAACGTGGATTTGACCTGAAAACAAACAGTCAGAACTGAGTTAGGCCATTAGTTAGAAGTAAAAGTAAGGTTTGATTGAACATTCTTTAACTCCCAGCTGGGTGGAGTTTACCACACTGACACTGATTAGAGAGTGTTAGCTCATTCTGCTGTCATTAACAACTGCACAAAAATTAAACTTATGATGTTTCATAGAAAGTAATGGTGCGGGGTAAACTTTACTGCGAGAAGCACTTAAATATTTGTTGTTTGGCCTCTAGTTTAAATATCGTGTGTATGGATGTACGTCAGTATGTCAGAATGCACCTTGGGTATTTTTCTAACTCAAACTTTCCTTTCTAATGCTCGTATGACTGGACAACTGCACTGTGTAGTAATTGTAGTTTTTTTGTTTGTTTTTTTTAAATCACTTCTGTCTTCTCACAGTAATGTGACTCATTAATTTATGACCGTTTTCCTGCCTCTCGCTTTGCAGCAAATTAATTTTTTTCTGCAGAAACAAGAGAATCACATTTGTAAAAAAAAAAGAAGAAATATTTTCATACATTCCACTCTCATCATCAATACACAGCAGAAAGATTATTTATTTTTGAACAAAAAATATTTAATAAAGGGTTGAATATGTGTGGTGGGTTATTTGGTTGTAGGGCAGGTTTATAACGGCACTACAGTAACGACAGATACTGCTCTGGGGTCTTTTTTCAGTTTATCTCTCTGATCAACTGCTTGTGTGTTCTGTTTATGAGCTTTCTCAACAGCCTTTTTTTAGACATCAAGAATAATCTGGACAAGTATTCTTTTTAAACTAACAGAGACAGTATTAGATAGTGATGGTGACCACGTGCCTGAACCTTTGTTGCCAAAACAGTTTCAGTAGATTAACTAGTGAATAATTCCAAGTAGTAGTTCCAGCTGCATAAACAAGTGAGTGCATGAGTGAAAAAGACAAGAAATTAGGAAATTAATTGAAAGTATTTTATAAAGTATATATTTATAGAATATATGTTTAAGGTCTACATTGGGGGGAATAAAGTCAGCTCCTGTTGCCCTTACTTTTTGCTACAGCCTGCAGCCTTATGCATCACATCCCAAAGCTGTGCAAAATCTAACACTGTGTTCCATTAATGATTTAGATGTTTTTATGTTCCACACCTCTCTCTGCAGTCAGGTCTGTTGTGTTAAAGCAACACATTTACTGTCAACCGTTCAGATTTCTGCTGTGTTGATCTGAGTCAACTGGAAGCTTCAGCTACGGTCAGTGCAGCTTGGCCCTGGAGATTTTCTCACTAACTGTCGAGTCTGGTTAAATGTAGGAAACTCTATCAAAGTTATGGCAAGATTTGGTTTCCAGTGGGTTTTAACGCCATTGGAGTTCTTATGAATTTCACTAAAATACTGAAAAAATATTAAAAACAGTTTATTTTTTCCCCTTTTTTTTTGAAGAGTTAAACTGATTTAAAGATTGTTTTTAGCTTTGATTCATGAATTCAAAGAGTTATATTGTCATTTCAGTTTGAACTTACAATACACAGTAAAAATGGACAAGAACAACACTGGTGACAGAGGTCCCAGGTGATGCAAAAAACCCAACAACATTTAACTAAATTTTTAAGAACATTCCAAAAATGTCTTAGCGACATTGAGGTCCAGGATCTTTGGAGACTAACTTACCAACATTTTCTCATTTATAAGTTATAAGTCCTGTGCAGAATCCTTTTGGTGATTTTTGGTATTTTATTTCTGCTGAAAAGCATCAGATGATGCTAAACATTCATGCTGGAATCAATTCTGACTAAGTCCCCAATAAAATTGCTTGGCTGAAATGTAGTCCCAAACCAAAACAGAGCCACAACAGAGCATTGTTTACCTGAAGATTCCAACAGACAGATGATTGTAACATGTTTTTGTGAACAGTTAAGATGAGAAATCGTTCCATATCCTTTGTAAGAGCCTTACAAGATGTTTTTTTTTTCCTTTTTAAGAAAGGCACTGTGAGATGTGTCTTCATATTTAAAACATTCTAGCTCAGCAATTTGTTAATCTATAATCACACCTTTCAGCCTGTCTTTAATCTTATCTTCAGAGCCATGTGTGGAACTGGTTAAGCTCGTGTATTCTCAGTAATATTATACATATTAGAGAATGATGAGATCATTCTCTGCCAGGTTTGTTTAGGATAAAACATGAAAACAAAGTGGACACTCCTGTTTGCTTTCCCATTTGCTAAAAGAGGCTCAGAGTACAAGAAATAATGGTTTAAAATGACTCCTGAGACAGAGGGACACTTTACACACAGGTGTCCACAACAACAGTTTGGTCAAAGTGGCCTACAGCAGATGGTCCTCCTACTTTCTAAAGGATTTTTAAAAAAATATGATTTGCAGTTGAATCATGTAAGTGAGCTTTTTCAAACGCTGTATGCGTGAAGGCGACTGTCTCCAGTTACAGTATGTCAGACTGCTTTACCATCAGGCATCTGTCAGAGGTTACTGCTGTTTTATTGATGCACCTCTCACACTCATCTTTTAAAGGTGAGATGTAAGACAGCTACTGTGGCCCAGACTATTCAAAGCCTAAGTGTGGAAAACATTGACAGACATGTTTAACTACCTCCTTAAGAATAGAACATGGACACCAGATTGATGAAGCTGGTTGTAATTCTCCATCTTTGATCACCTGTGTTTTCCTCCAATTAATTTTAATTAAATTCTATGACATTTCTGCCAAGTGGAACGATAAATCACCCCACCCCCCTCAGCCAGGTCACTGACATACAGTCTGTTCATTGTGAAATTGTCTCTGTTGTTGCCCCACCAATTCAGTGTATTTTATTTTTGTGGTTACTTTAGCTTGTGTGGCTGTAATTGTTTTTTGTTTGTTTGTTTTTGTTTGTTTTTTTGTTATTTCTAGCAGTGCTGGTATTTACCTGCAGCTGCTAAACTAACCATATTTGTAAAAGAGATTGTTATGGTAAAGAGCAATGACCTAAAAATGCACAGGATATTTTAAATCCACAGTGTAAATTCAAATTTATTTGTTTTTGGGGATTTTTTTTTCATGCTGTCTAAGAATGTTGATTTTGAAAATTGTCTATATTACTTATCTTTCCATTAAAGGGAGTAAGTGAACATCACTTTCTATCTGTGTTGACGCTCATTTGTGCAAAGTTTCAGTGTTGGTGTGAGTCAGATCTGCTGATCATCACTTCTGGAGGTTTTCTCACCTCAGCAGATACAGATGCACGAGGTGACGGTCTGTCAGGTGTCTCACAGACTTTGGTGCTGCATTTTTAAATAAGATAACACAATGTCATGTTTTTCACTTTTCTTTCAAATGTGTGTTGGTGCACACTCGTGGTGTCTTTTAGATGCTGGTCAAAAGACTAGGAACAGGTCAAGGCTTGGTGAACGGATTTACACTACATTACAAGGCTGACAAAAACACATTATTCCAGAAGAGAGAGTGATAAATTCAAAAGAGATGCTCCTCATGACGGTCAAGTCTTAGCTGGTAGTTAGTCAACATTTTATTGATATGACTTTTTTTTTAAATTTGTGTGAAACGTTTGTTACCACTAGAGGGCAGGTTTGGTCCATATTTCTGCACAGAGCACAACAAATATAATCTGTAGCAGCAATTGTAGAATTGTATCACCTAAATCCCTACCTAATATCGTTCGTTAAAGACGATTAGACTGACTTTTGTAGCTTGCGATAAACCACATTTATTACGTCTGTCACACCATAGATGTGTACTTTAAATTAGATATGCAAAAAGTGCAGGGCGTGTTTTTATTTCCACGGAAATATACAGTATATAAAAAGTGACGCTCCTGAGTCATATCTTTGGCTTTTATGAGTGGAGACAGTAAAACTGGCCCACACGGCTCATTTATCATGTTTGGGCAGCTGAATACAGTACGAGTGTAATAGTGGCCTGATGTAATGTGATGAATGTGCTTAACTGTCAACGAGCAGAAAAACTGTCTGCTATGTAGAAGAAAAGCCTTAACGCTGAAAAACAAAACATTAAATAAAACATGAATGGCTCTGTAGATTATTGTTCTGCTCTAATAGTTTCTTGAATTCGGTGTCAGGAAGCCCCGGAGTGTGTGGATGTACTGCTAAGTGAACTTTAACTGGTGGTTACAAGACGTTGGAGCCCATTGTGTTAGGTTGCATTTACGGTACCTTCATCTGCCATTGCTGATGCAGAACTCAAGTGTAGCGTCACAGATCTGGGATCGGCTACTGCTGCATGTAAGAATTCGCATTGTTTTGCAAAGTAATGTCAATTTTGCTATTATTCTTTCAACTTGGATATCAAACATTTGAAAGCAGTTATTATAAATAAACATAATAAAGACTAGTAAACAAGTCACTTTGAGGATACCCCCTATTATGGTCAAATTGTTATTTGGGTACAGACTTTTAGACGTTTATGCTATTATTAAGCGAAAGTAGGCAAATTTGGAACATCAGATTTTCACTTGTGTAACTCTTTAGTATTGTGCATATTCTCTCAAAACTTTATGGACGTATATTTAAAGTATACACGAATTACCAATATAAAGATTTGAATGTTGAGTCTAGGAATACTTGCGAATGATAAGTATATGACAATAATGCAGTTTTATTTTCCCTAATGCGAGTCTTGTGAAGGCAGTATGTCCGACAGTACGTGGAGGCAGCACAGGACTTGCGCTGCTGCGGCTTCTTCTGCCAGGGTTCAGTGTGCTCTGCTCTCAGGGGTGTGTGTTTGTGTTCTCTGCAGCACATGCTGGACCCTGCACAACTTTTGTCGTGGACACATATTCTAGGACTCCACAGAAGGAGCGTCGAAATACTACAGAGCAGCGGGTGAATGCTACGGACTTCAAGGAGTACTTTTATTTATCCCCAAATACCCAGAGCTGCAACAGTGTGTGTGGGTGAGCGCTGTTGTCCCAGTGGGGGAGAGTGGGTTTTTGTTTAAGGTTGACCTAAAACCTAACGGTGCCGTTCGCGCGTTTTCCCCCAGCCGTGGAGACGAACAAGAGCAACATGTTCTCGTGCACAGTTGGTGCTCGGTGCGTGTGTGTTGTGTTGGTTTGAACTGCAATGAAGGTAGAGTTTAGCAGCAGCGGTGAAGTGCTACACACAGACAGTGAAAGCTAAGCTCATCCCAGCTGCCGGCGGTGGCGGTCAACGAACACAATACCCGGCACGGAACACAGGTACGTTCACTGCAGCTCAGTACAACGCTGCTGTCTATGTGCGTCTCCATCTGCTCCGATAATGTGGTCGATAACGTTCTGTGAGGTTGGTTTTAAATGACGGAGCAGACTGCACATATGGTCCAACGTTAGACCGCCGCATGTGTTTTCGTCTGTGTCTCTATGAGGTTGGGGGCTAAGTTTTCAATGCAAAACCCACAGTAGAACTCTGTCTGCAGGTCCTTAAGACCCAGCCTGGATATAAACGTTAGAATTCGACAGAGCCTAAAAGTTGAGCCTTATATTTATAAACATTTAAATCCATTTAAATCATATTTGTGTTTTTGACTACTGCCCTGTGGTGCACTCGTTCTTTTCTTTTCTTCTTACTTAAGAATAATACTTTTGCAAATGTTTTCTATGGTTGGCTAGAATATAGTACCAGTAGAGGGCAGTAATGTAACTCAAACAATACTACTGTCATTTAAAAAACAATGAAGAAGAAATGGAGGAGCGGGCGAGGTATAAGTTATGGTCCAGGAGACAAGGAAGAATATGACCAGTATGGACACTGTTAAGTAGTTGGTCTGACAATGGGAAAAGTACATCAGAAGCGACACATAGTGGACAGCTGTATGATCCAGTTCCTGTTCATAGTCGAGATGTTCATTATACATTTATAAAAAGAAATAACAAGCTAAATGGGAATTTTAGCCCAAACTTTTAAGAAGTCATATTGCCACCTAGTGTGTGTATGTATTTTCTATTGGTAAAGTGATTTTACTTACAAACTTAAAGGCAATTGTTGTCAAAGGCTTCATCAAGCTGCTAAGAACAATGTCAATAATTGCAAATTGTACAAAAAATGGACATTGCCCATGATTATCCAAACAAACATCTAGCTATACATAGTATTCAGTCTATGTGGTCTACAGGTCACTAATCGGGCATGTTGTCAGTGACTTGGAAAAATTCATCTGATTTTCCAGTCAGTAGACTCTCTGACCCAAATAAAATAGAAGTCCGTGGCATTGCTGGTAGCTCCGTGCTCATATTTCCAGCAGAATAGACATATTTAATAATGTTGTCACTTCCGGTTGGTTGCAGGTCGAGAGATGTGGTCAGTACTGGGCCTAAATTGGTAAACAGCTTGTATAAGGCGGTATCTACCAAACAGAGAGTTGACTCCCCTGTCGATCATGACTAATCCTGCGCTTGTGGAAAACTCAATGCAGCATATTTAGAAAAAAACAACAACAAAAATAGGATCATTTAACCATACTTGAGTTATACCCAATCACCATGTATAAAAGCAAGGACTTTTCACCCACTGTGAAAATGTCTCATTATCCTGATTGCTGTCATTGTACATTTGATGGATCTATTCATACGCCACATGAGGATAATGATGATGCTGCAGCCATTTTAAAGCCACAAGGAATCGTGAAAGATCACAGATATTTTTTTTTCCAAATTAATATGACCCTTAATATTCCTCTGCCATAGAAAATAATTTAATTGCTTTAATTTCCTATGATGGCTGCTTTATCAGTTGTCTCAACTGTGTCTGTGATCGGATCAATGATCTCCATCAACCTTTGTCTCATTAAGGCTGACTAATGTTGAATTAAAATTGTGGATACAAAAATCTGTAACATTATCAGCATTGCAGCAGTCATACACCTTTTACCTGTTATGTATTCATTTTTTAAAGAAACCTTTAAAGGTTCTTTTCCTTATTAAAATGAGCTTCTACTGTATGAACACAACCTTTTTTGTCCAGTGTGTAATTGAATCTATAGTTCCAGTGCAGTTCTTATGCTGCACCTCTTTCATCAGGTGATTACATTTTAGTCAAATAAATGTGCAGTTTTCTTTTTAAAGTCTTATTTGTCTAGTGGCTCATGGTGAAAACAGGTAGAACCACTGACCATGGAGCAACTCCAGGAGGAGCATTAGGGTAGGGCTTTGCTCACAGGCGTTATTTTTTAATTCAAATTTCCGAATGATCTTGTGCAACATTTCCCAGGCACCATGACTGATACTTCATCAACACACTGCTTAGACCCATTACACTGCTGCTCCGACATGATGGGACTGAAACAGCTGACAAGTCATGGTTGATTAGGAATTTTGCTGGCAGGGTCACAGTTCAGTGGTGCATGTGATCAGTGCAGAAGGGAAAAGTTTACCTGTGCCAGTTGGCTCTTTTCAGTGTTTGTGTGTCTAACACCTTATCAGTATTGGTTCAGTTTTGCAAGCATTCCTGGCGTGTTGGTGCTTGATGTGAATTAAATTTTTTCTAGTTGTTTTCTCGAGGAAATGTGGGCTCTTAAACGAAGACACAGTATACCCTTTGCTGGAAGGACAGGGACGTCAGTCATTCACTTTTCAAGTCCACATCTTACCCACTGACTCACTCTACCATAAGGCGTAATCAACATGTAAAGTGATGCATTCATATGTTAAAAGTGTTTTTTATTTTACCTGTGTAGTATTTGTCAAACAGAAAAGGTACTGCAGCAACCATAAATTCTATCTCCTTTGCAGATTTTTCTGCTAACGTCATGTTATGGGGACAGATTATTTGACTTGTCAGATGCTCATCATAGGAGAACAATGCACTGTCTTGTCTCTCTCTCTTTCTCTCTCTCTCTCTGTCATGATGATACTGCAGTCATGGACTCACAGAGGAAAAACAAACTAATGCTATTTAGTTACTGGTTGTGTTGCATTGAAGCACTAGTTATTAGTCTGTTTATCTATTTTTGTTAAATAGGCATAAATCCATTGACATTAGTCACATCGTGAATCCTCATAAACAGTAAACATCCAATGCATGGAAAAATAGAAGCACAGTCTTAGCTACATTCTCTTTGCATTATTAAGGATACACATCTTCTGAGCTCTGTCAATATTCTCATGGTGATAAAGAGTCA